GCAGCGGCAGCGGCTCTGTAGGAAGTGAATAAGAAAGGAAAAGAGACCCTTTCTGCAGCGGATGCTATCACTGCCTTTTGAGGCTAATGTTTCTGGAAGAACCCTGACTGCCCAGGGACTTTCAGACCCTGCTGCTCCTAATCTTCAGCCCTCTTCTGATCACTTTAGAACTAGGATTGCCAGGGGCCCGGATGCGCTGGCGCACATGAACCCAGGAGGACGCGCTCCCGTCTGGTACCAGTCCCGAGCAGGGCTCTGTTCTGGTGTCAAATGCTGACAATGTGAGGACTGGCTTTCTAATTAAAACCGTCACTGAACAGGGCAAGGCTGTGCTGTTAATAGGTGACCAAGAACGGCAAGACAGTCATCATCACAGAATTCATGTCAGAGTAGGATCCTGCAGGTCACATGATCAAAAGTCTGACCTGCTCTTCTGCAGACACCCCTCTGCTGTTGCAGGTACTCTCATTCGAGCCGAGTTTGTGCTGCACCGTGGCAGGCTCACGGCACTCTGACTCATGTGGTGTGTTCACGGAATCTCCTCCGAACTTGCACAGCCATAAACTATTCCTGACTTTTCTCCCATCACTTCTGTTATTCGCTGCAGCAGACTCTCTCATTGCGTGGATTGGGATGTATAATTGTAAATTGTGGAGAAACGCAAGATGTACAGAAGGTTCCACGTACGTCTCAATACTGTTTAAGATATAAGCCTGTGAACATGGAAAATACCACAGTGGAAAAAAAAGAGGAGCAGAAAAATAGACGCTATTTATTTAAAGACATGCTGGGCAGAAGACAGCACATTTTAAATCTGGGCAAAGACACAAATATCCAGGTAGGCACTTGGGGATCTCCTAGTGAATTCAGGACACAGTCTATAAATGTTGAGGAGAAAAAGAAAGTAACTGCTAATCAACAACTGATGGGCTAGGGCAGGGGATACAGCTCAGCAGCATAAGTGCCTGCCTGGCAAGCACAAGGTCCTGGGTTCAATCCCTGGTACCAAACCCAACCCAAACCAAAACAAGCCTGATAGGTTCCAGCCCAGCAAACTGCTAAACTATCAAGGCCCTGATTGGACACGGCTGAATCCCTAAAGCAACAGCTCATCTTCCCAGTGACCGCTTCCTCCTCCTTCCCAGGCCTGGGTGCTTTTCCCACACACCCAGGGGAGCCCCAACCAGCTCCTGTGTGCCCCTGAACCTGCCCCTTAAGCTCTGCCCCTGGCAGAAATCCACAGGGTCTCTGCCTCCGGGGGCTCAGGTCCGGGGCCCCCCAGCTCCCTGCTGCCGACCCTCTCCGTGTCCTGCTCACGGCAACAAAGGCCTTTCCCCCTTTCTTTCACTTCTTTTTCTGCCACTACCGAAAAACCTACCAAGGACACTGCTCCCCAGAAAGCTGTCCTTTAAGCCGAGGAAGAAATCAAGACGTCCTCGCTCCAACAAAAGCAGAAGGAACACATCAGGCCTCGGCCTGCCTTACAGGAGAAGGCAGGGAGAATTCTTCAGCTTGACGAAGGCTACTAATTAGTGAAACTCACAAACACACACGAGAGCATAAAGCTCCCAGCAAGGTAAATAAACAGACAAGTTATGAACACCCTGATTGTCAGGGGTGTGCAAGCCCTCGTCAGTCCACCACCAGACAAAGCTAACTAGAGCTGCGTTAGCTTGCCCAAGGATAAGCCATAGAAGAAGATGTAAACTGTAGCATCAGAAACACGAAATGTGAATGCAGAAAGACGCAGAGCTTTTGCTTGTGAACAACGCGAGGTGGCCGTCAGCCTAGAGCAGGTGAGTCAGTCTGCTTTACACAGCCTGTGTTCCTGCAAAGGCAAAGCCTACAGCAGGAGCAGCGAAGGCGGGCGCGGGGGCAGAGCCTCCACGAGGCTCGGCGGAGCACAGAGGAAGGCGGCAAGCGCTTGGGAAGGAGCAAAGAAAGCACAGACCAGGAGACCACAGCAACGGCAAATGCAAGGCCCTGTGGACTTAACTTCTCTGACCCAAAGACGTAGAGTTCACCGATAAGACAGAAGCGAGGAAACTCTGCACTCCCTATAAGAGACTCACCTCGCCTTTAAGGAAACACACTGACCAAGGGAGAGGGCTGGGACAAGATGCCCTGCGTAATGGGGAGCAGAGGACACAGCAGCTCTGCTTACACGGGGACAGATGGACCCTCGATTAGGAGCTGTAAGAAGAGTCACAGAGGTGACGGTCACGAAACAAGAGAGCCAGACCCTCAAAAGGCACGGCAACTGCAAGTATGCCTGCACCCAACACCAGAGCATATAATACACAAAGCCAATAGTAACGGAGCTGAAGGGAGAGACAGATTAATACACTAATGGCAGACAAGTTCTTATTTCAGGGGGCGGGCGGGAAAGCGTCTCGCTGTGTAGTTCAGGCTGGCCCTGACCTTGCTATGTAGCGCGGGTCCTCCTGCCTCAGCCTCCTGAGTGCTAGGAGTATAGGCGCGCACCTCCACCCCTCGCTCCCAACAGCAAGCAAGCTCAATGCCCCAATTTTGGCAGTGGAGAGCTATTCCAGACCCCCCTCCCCCGACTCTGTAAAGAAACAGCTGGCTGAACTACACTCTGGACCAAGCGGGCCTGACAGACGAGTCCAGAACCTCCGTGCAGCAGCAGAGCATGCACTCCCTGAGGCGCACCTGGGACTTCCCAGGGTATGCTCTGAGGAGCCTGGGCGTGCTTAGGGTGGTATAGCCGCAGACTCGCAGGGGACACTCCGAATCAGGCCTTGGAAGTAGTGTTTTCAGTCTGTCCTGTGCTGTTTCATAGAACATCATGGGCTGGGTATGTACTGTGGACAGAACCGGATTGGCTCATGGTCTTCAGGGTTAGAAATCGGCGGAGGAGCTGGCATAGGGTGGGGCCTTACCAGCAGGATGGACAGAGGGCAAGAGGCCAGGGGCCGCTGGGGCTGAGCCCCACCGGGACACGAACTCTCTCCCACACTCAGGGCATCAGACCATTCATAAGAACAGAGACCTCATGCCTGCCTATGACTTCAAGGTGTCACTTCTTATAACCAACCCTTCAGGTAGTTGACATTCAAAATGTAGCACAAGTCTCAAACAGTTGAGACTGAAATGATCTCAGGCATCTTTCCTGACCTCTATGGTGAGAAGCTACAAATCAATAAGGAAACCTGAAATTCTCACAAATCTGTGGAAGTTAAAAAAATGTGCTTCTGAGCAGACCATGTTTTGAAGAAGGAATCAAAAAGCAAAGTAAAAAAAGGATTTCATTACAAAAATATATACACTGCATCAAAACTTATAGCAGGCAGTTAAAGTGCTTCTGAGAGGGAAAGTTACAGAAATAATAAGCTACGTGAAGAAAAGTAAAGGTTGCGAATAAGCAACCAAACTTTGCTCCTCAAGGAACTAGAAAAACAAAGCTCGAAGCTGATCCAGGGATGAAAATAGTAAAGATCAGAGAAGAAATAAATGAAACAGAGACCAGAAAATAACAGAAAACAGTCAAGAAGGCAGCTGTCTGAAGCTAAGCCAATAAATCTCCGGCTAGACCAGCTAAGAAAGAAATAAAGGAAGTAAGACTCACCCACAAGCAGAAGTGAAACAGGAGAATGAAGGGCTGATGGCAGAGAAAGGCAGAGGCCTAGCAAGCCACTTTTTAAAAGATAAGCAAATCAAAAAATCTTCAGCTAGCTAGAGACCAGACTCATTCAAACCAGAATTAAAAGAGGAAAAATACTGATCATGCAGAAGTCAGAAAAAGCGTTGTAACTGATAAATTAGACAACCGAGAAAATCTGGATGAATTCTTACAACTATAAAGACCAATCAAGACTGAAATATGAAGAAATAGAAAATTTGAATGAATATAAATAGTAAGGGAAGAGATTCAACTGGTAAACAAAAACTGATAAAAAGCCTTCCATCCAAGTAAAGGCAGGAGCTGATAGCTTCTCGGCTGAATTCTACCACTGTCTGAAGAACTGACCTGGTCCTTCTCACACCCTTCCAGGAAGCTGAAGGGCAACACTTCCAAGTTCATCCTGTGAGGCTTACTTTCCCCTGATTGCAAAGTCAGACAAAAGTGCTACCGAGAAGAAAAGAACATTATCGATCAGTATCTGTGATGAACTTTGATGCAAAGATCCTCAAGAAAATGCCAGCAAGCCAAAGCCAACCGTGCACCGCAAGGGCCGGGCTGGAACGCTGGGCACAGCCAGCGCGTTGCCACAGACTCAGCTCTGCTGCTTGCCGGCGGGGACCCTCAGGAAAGCTTGCCCTCTGGCCTTCTGTCCCTGCCCTCCAGTTCAGTCCCACATCACAGGCACAGAGCTCCTTCCTGTCTCATGGCTATCAGAAAGGAATCCTGACTCACAAGGCCCTGGAGGCCGCCCTCGGGCCAGGCCACACCCAGGCCCTTCGACAGCCTTGTTCTGGTCTCTTTGAGCCCTGTCACTAGGCCGCACAAACATGCACACAAACATGCACACCCGCACAAATCAATTTTTTTTTTGTATGCTTGTGTCATTATCTCTATAACCATGGACTGTGAACCCCACGCGTGGTAGGGTTGTGGGTACTGTGACTGTTGGTGTGACGTCGTATGACAAGGTGCTCCTGCAGCCTGTAGACAGCTGGATCGGCTCTCTTCTGGATACTGAGGGCCCTTGTCCTAATACCCAGGGGCTGATGCCCTTCATGGACTTGGTGCTGAGGAGGCGGCTGGGAAAGGTCGGCTATGCGCTGGGTATTGGTGACCTCATTATACTTGGAGGAGATACGTGTGGGGGACGACTTCAAAGCTAGAGTAGGACTATTTTAAGGGATGGCTTTAGGGACCGTGGAGAAACACCTCATGGTGAGGACCAGGGATCTCAGGAAGCCGCCTTCCCCAGTCCCCAGAGGAGCCTGTCTAGTACGTGGACAAGCACACAGGACAAAGGGGCCCCATGACGCTGAGACCGCCCCGCCGCATCCCCTCCCCCGGCCTTACTCACGGACACGGACACGGTGGCTGCGTCCCCAAGTGACAGCGTCACCACCTACACGTCTGCCTCCCGGCGGAGGCGTGGGTTGACCATGGGTGTCCCCTCAACGACCGTCCAGGGGAAACGGTCCCTGCGGGGCGAGGTCCAGGACGAGGGCAGAGCAGCAGGTGCCAGCCCTGGCCGCAGATGACCCCGCTGTCCCAGGGTAGTGTTCACTCGCGTCCCAGAGCGCAGGCGAGGGCGGTGTCCGCGGCTCTCAGGATCCCCAGGACCCTCAGGACCCGCCAGGCACCCGCAGCCGCGGACCCGGGGCCCCTCCATCCCGCGCGGCCCTAACGCGCAAGGCAGGGCGCGTGAGGCCCCACGTGGGCGCGGAGCTCAGCTGCGTCCCCGCCCCGAGGGCATGGCGCGTGGCGTGCGCGCGGTGCTCGCCGCCTCCTCCCGGCCTTGGGTTCCGGCCGGTGGCCCTGCAGAGGGTGAGGCCGCAACGCAGGGCCTCGGAAGGTGGAGCCCCAGGGCTTCCTGGCGAGCGGCTTGGGGATCCTGGGGGAGATAGTCCCATGCCCGTTTCTGGGTCGTTGGACTCCTGCTGCTAAAGCACAAGAGAGCTGCTGAGGCCGCCAGCGCTGCAGTGGGCCCGCCACCGGGGGTCCTGGGTAAGGGCATGTTGGGCCCTGAAATTGACCCCTTGGATTCTATAGTTCCGGAAAGTTCCCCAGCCTCCTGCAGAACCGAGCGGTCCTACAGGAAACTTAAGTGGGTGAACACTGGAACTAACCCTTCCCTAAGAACCCTGCTTTGTAGAGGCTCAGTTCCCGCCCTTGTGACAAAGCCACACAGACCAGGTGGCTCATGAGCCATAGAAATTTGCTTCTCACATTTCTAGGCACCAGCGCCAGCAGGATGACCCGTGCCTGCCTGCCGCCTGCCAGCTGCCTTGGTGCCCCGCATCCTGGAGAGAGACACAGGGCGGGAGCTTTGGGAACCTCCTGCCTGGACTCTGACCTCCACCTCTGACCTAAGCCCCAGGACCTGCTTCTCCATACCGTGCGCATTCTCTCGTTTCTTTCTTAAAACACCACAGGCCTGAAGAGTTTTAAGGAAAGAGGTTCCTTTTGGCACAGGGTTCTGGAGGTCCCAGGGCAAGGGGCAGCCTGGCATGGCCTTGTGTCGGGAGGGTGCGTCCCTGTGTGTTTCCTATGTCCCTCCCTTTTCTTATAAAGCCAGCAGTTCTCCATCATGGGGAAGGGTCCGCCCCATCACCTTGCCCAGGCCCGATCACTTCCCAAAGCACCCCTCTAAATCCAGAGTCAGCTGAGCGTTCACCCCTCACGCTTCATGATGGGGTGAAGCCTCCAGGGACGCCAAGGCTAAGTACCAAGGAAAGCAAGCTTTTGCTGTTGCTTGCTGCACCTCCTGAACAGCCAGTGCGGCAAGGCCGGCGCGGAGAGACAAGCAGTGTCTGATGGCTTCATGTGGGATTCCAAATAGTATAGAATAGTATTTAAAACAGTAGAGTAGGGGCTGGGGAGATAGCTCAGCCCCACAAGGGCCTGCATGGCAAGAGCAGGACCTCGAGTTTGATTCCTCGGCACCAAAACAAACAAAGAAACTAATGAATAAACAAAACACAAAAACAGTGGAGTAGAAAGATGGTTGTCCAGGCCTGGCTGGAGGGGAGGAGTGGGCTAGTAAGGGGGACAGGCGCGAAGCTTCAGCCATGCCGAATAAGTAAGCCCAGGCAGCGTACTGTGAGCATCGCCTTTAGTTACTGCTGTGGAGAGGGTGGGCCGGTGGCAGAGGGGGCAGGGGGAAGCGTGTGGCACTGAGGGGGCGGCACCATCCTGTGGATGTGACTCGCCCACACACCAGTGGCTGGGTGTGCCTGAGGTGTGCACAGGCTTTTCTGTGTTAAGAACAGAAAGCGGGCTAACAGCCCTGTATGCTGGAAGCAGGGAATGGCTTAGAGGAAAAGCAGATACTTCCTCAGCCAGTGTAAGGATTTAACATACCTAACAGCATCATAAAATGCCGCATAAAATTCATGTTGTGGTGAAACTTTGCGGCCAGGCGTAAGGACACTGAGCCTCTTCCGGAATGGGACCTAAAAGGCGTGCTCTTGTTGGAGAAGCCTGACAGTGAATGGCTGCAGTGGGCACGCCTCACTCGCTCTTTCATAAGAACGTGGACGATCGAAACAGGCCTTCTCCGTAATGGAAACTCGTGCGAAGTCCAGGCAGCCATGAAGAAAACTTACAAATGACGTATTTAGGGTACAGAGTGTTTGGGGCAACCGGAAGTACAGACGGGGTACCCAGGCAGGGCTGCTTACCCTTCGTGCTAACTTCACTGTTAATAATGAAAGAATGATTTCCTTCAGCCATCGTCCAAGGAGTCGCCACCAACGCGCTGCATCCTCCTAGCCTCCCTCTTGCTTCTTACTGCAGCCCTCTGGGAACCTGCTTCCCCAGGGAGGAAGTTTCTGGGGTGAAATAATTCCTTAGCTCCAGACAGCCAGATCCAAACAGGAAGCTGCCCTCGGCGCCCTCGACACCGGCGTGTCACCAGAACCCTCTGTTCCAATTTTTATTTACAGAATAGGAAAAAAAAGAAACATTGGTACAAACTTCACTAACGTATACTTTCTGGAAACATCTTGAACAAAATGATGATCTGCTTTTCATCTTCTTGAAAGCGCCTCATCTGGGACTGAGGGCAGGATGGTTCCTTAACATGGAAAAAAGAGGGCGCTCCCAGTGCCGGGGACCTGAGGTAAGAAAAGAATTAGCACATTGGTCATTACACCTTCCAAAAAGTGTCTGGTCCCAGGTCATTGAACAGCCCCCCTCGCTCTGCCCAGTTATCTGTGCTTCTGACCTGGCAGGCGACAGTCACGCAGGGGCTCAGAGGAGGAGTGCAGTCCCCATAAGGTGCCGGCGACGCTTACCAACGTCTTCTCCTTTTGGCTTGCTCTTTAATAACAATATTGAAATGGCCATTTGCAGGGGAGAAGGCGGACGTTCCCACCACTGAGATCTTACCCCAGTGAAGACACACATCTGCTTTTGGAAGCCTGCCTGCCTGCCTGCTGGCCCACCCGCCCACCTTCCTTCCCTCCCTCCCCGCTGCCCTCCAGCCTGCCTCCCTCTCTCTCTCCCTCCATTCCTCCCTCCTTCCCCACCTCCTGTCTCCTTTCTTCTTCCTCGTTCTTCCTTTCCTTCTCCCTTCCCTTCCCTCGCTCCCTCCCCTCTGCCCTCCCTGCTGCTTCTCTCCCTCCCTCTCTCCATTCCTCCCTCCTTCCCCACCTCCTGTCTCCTTTCTTCTTCCTTTCCTTCCCCCCTCTCCCTTCCTTTCTCTTTCTCTTTTTAGGTTAGAGGTGTGGGCTTCACCAGCAGTCTACCTCGTGAGTCATAGATGCATATTTAGTTTTCAAGTCAAACTAGCACAACTTTTATGGTCAGGAGTACAGTGCTGTGCTCGGCCGTTTCGATGTGAGGAAAGAAGTTGGAATAGCTGGGAAACAGCTCCGGACTACACTGCAGTCATCAGCTGCCTTCTGTCCAGGGCTGAGTCCAGGGGAGCTGCGGGCAAGCCCCAACACGTAAGGCAATGCTCAGCGACGTTTCCACGACTCGTTCTGCACATTCCATTCCTCATCCGTCTCTCCTGGCAACAAGCCCGCCCTCCACAGAGACGCTCGGAGAGGCGCAGCACCTGGACCACCTTCTCTGGAGGACTTCAGAACCTGGCTGTGTGTGTGCTACTTCTGCTTTCGGTTACGCCCATGCTTTCTTTCCTGCTGTTCAGGGCCCTGGCCGAAGGCTTGGGCCAGATCACTTCTCGGCTGGTACTTGCTGGTGTCGGGGGCCCGGCCCTTCACCCACACTAGTTGATTTCATTTCTTCAGCTCTTGGTTCTCTTGCAGTTTCCATTGGTGGCTTCCCAGTCTCTGCATGGGCAAAGCTTTCTATGGCTGAGGTTGGTTTGTCACCTGCAAACTTCAAGTTCCCGAAGTTGAATTCTAGCCCTGTCTCTTGAACTCTGGGCACACACCGATAGCCTCTCAGTGATAAACAAATAGGACAGCAAGTTGGAGCTACATTCGGATCCACAGCTGTTCTTCTGTGTTAATCGTGGGGCCCTGTGGGGAGTGGCCGGCCCCCCAACCCAATCCACAGGAGCGTTTGTTAGCCGTGTCCTCCTCAACACATTTTAACTGGTGCCCCTTTCTCTGCCTCCCAGGTGTCAGCAGAGGCAGCCACCCTTAGCGCCCATGGGGCCTGGCACCAATGGCACCTTCGCATCCTCTGGGAACTTCCGGTATCAGTCTTATCTGGCTCGCTCCTACCTTGCTTAGGTTTTCCTCTCTTTATGAAGACTTTGAAACTGTTCGCTCGCTCTGGGGTTGTGACTCAGTCGTTTCCCCTTTTCCTTGATATTCGCGCGCTCCAGCCTTATTCACTCAGCCCAAGCGTCTTTTCTTCCCAACATACTTAATGGATTGAATGCCATTCTGGTCAGTGTGGGGCTTTGAGATCTCAACCCCCGGGCCGCTGATGGCTTCTAAGTCACATTGCCTGACTCATCTTCCCTGCTGATGGTCGCGCATCTATCTGGGGAATGTTCCTCTGAGTTGTTCCTTGCTGCAGAGTGCCCTTGTTACCCCTTGACTCTAGCTGTTCCCCAAAGCCTCATGCGCCATAGGTGGGGCGCTTAAACGTTGCTGGAGTAGGGTGTGACACCAGGATTAAGGGTGCGTGATTACTAACCTGGCCCGTTAACGGGTTTAGCACAGTTCTGGGTGTGGATAAGAGGTGTGTGAGCGGCACAACCCAAAGGCAGGCAGCCTGGAAGGGCCAAAAGAGGAGGAGGAAGGCTGCTTGGCTGCCTCCTGCTGCCATGGGTGTATTCTCTGCCTCGCCACCCTGCCTGGGAGTCAGCCAGCTGGGGACTGAAACCCTTGCACACTTTAAGCTCAAATAAAACTTTCCTGCTTATCTTTGGGCATCAGATATTTTATCTCTGCAAAGAGAAAAGTAAGACAACCGTATTCCCGTCACTTGCACCTCAGATGTCCTGCACAGGGTTTGGTAAGTGTGGGATTACTGGGGGTCACTCCTCCAGTCAAGTCCACACACGGCCTGTTATTTTCTTGCATTTTCTCGCACAGTTCAGAGGCTTTACTTTAATTCCCTTGCTCCTAGCAGATCAAAGTTTGACCTGAGTTTGACTGAGCTGTCAGCTGGGAATGAGTTTGAACTCCAAGGCTGCTGTGAGAGAGGGCTGGCATGGAGAAAGGAATTGCTGCCGA